GCGTAAGGCGTGGTCGTACTGGGACGGGCCAAGCCCCTGAACAACAGGCACAGTCTTCAAAGGCTTACAAGTGTTAGAGACAAGGACGGAGTCTATGAAGACTAAGGGCCGAAATATCTCAAAATCGTAATCTATAATTCTGGACAGAAACGTCGTCCTCACAAGAAACGCGTCGACAAAGGACACTCTGTCAGAATTCTTTCAAACTCTAGTATTTTGGAACCCTTGACCTGGCTATCTTTCCCAATTTGAATAGTATCAAAATATGGAGTATAACTCGAGTTATGAACTTCGGCGCACTAGGGGGTATGCTGCCATAGAAAACGTAACTCAATCACAAATTATCTTACAAGTTCACACAAGAAAGTTGGAGTAGCAATAGACCCAGGTAGGAGGGTGATGAGGAGACGAGAGGGAAGGTCCCAGAGAGTCCCCAACCAGGAAACCCCATACCACACAATCCCCTCTCTATAGGCACCCCAACTTTGACATTTTGTCACTTTCCCAACCCATGCCATCCACCTCACCACCCAACTTGGCCACACTTGCCACCTGGTTGGTTTCTCCCAACCATTTGGCATCAACTACAGTAGAAGTGACGAATTTCCCAACCCCCAATGGTCTATACCCCTTATGGACTCACCCCACAAATGCACAAAGTTGCTGTAACGAAATATATGAAGTATACGAACTTCAACCGTTCGTAACTTTTCTCGTTCGTGCTCCGATTGAAGCGGTCCTTGGTTCGTCGGAATGCTCTCGAGCAGAGGATTCAATTCAGATATCTGCTCAAGCCAAATAACATTCACACACACTCAGAAAATCAAAACCACACCAAACACAATTCTTATACACACCACGCATGCAACGCACGAACATATGATGGGAGGCAGACAGACGTGAATGCAAATGATAGCATCACATAACAATATGTGTGGAATGTGTGGCAGATGAAGGCTTTGGTTGCCGAGGGCTTCGCGATCGGCGGCGGCGTGAGGGGAGCAGGAGGAGGGACAGCCCCAGGCAGCCGCGTGTCGTACGGAGGCGGGAGTGCGGCGACGGTCGCAGGTGCGCAGGCGGGAGTCGCAGATGAGGGGGCGACGGTCGCAGGTGCGCAGGCGACGTTCGCGGATGCAGGGGCGAGGGTTGCGGCTGCGCATGCGACGGTCGCGGATGTGGGGGCGACAGTCGCGGGGGTGCGCAGGCGGCGGTCACGGATTCGGGGCGAGGGTCGCGGTGCACAGGCGGCGGTCGCGGATGCGGGGGCGACGATTCGCGGGTGCGCAGGAGCGGTCACGAATGCGGGTCGACGGATGCGTAGGCAACGGTCGTCCGCCGGGTCGACGCGAAAGCAAACAAACGAACGAACTTTCCATTTACACCAAATGCATTTGCACACGCATACTCGAACAAACAGACGGCACGATGTTGTGCAATGTGAATTTGCACCACACCCTCCCCTCAGCCTGCCGGCTGCTTCCACATCATTCCATGCTGTTCATGCTCATTCGACTCATGCATACACAACGCCAAATGATGCTCATTCGCATTGCCTCTTGGTGAGGAAGTCTGCTGGCTGCGCTGGTGAGTCTTGATGTAGATCGGGATTCAACCGTCCCCCTCTTCACCTCCTTACGTAGCTCGTGCCACTTGATACGCATGTGCTTGTTCAGCCATGAAGCACAGCGTTCCTGGCCATCCCAAGAGCCCCTTGCTATCAGAAAACAGCGGGGTAAAAACCTTCTGCTCCTGGCCAATCTCCTCTAACAGCCTCCTCAGCCAAATCACCTCCTTCACCCATGGAACATTGCCATGAATTTTGATTCTACAGAGGATAGTGCCGTCTCTGTCTACTCCTTGGACCTCCAACTAACAGGTCCTCCCCCAGCTACACAGATGTATCCTCCCACATATGAGGAATCCTCTTTCTCAGAAGCCCAAGTAGCATCCGTAAAGCAAGTGAGGAACAGCTTGCATTCTCCAAGCCGCCCCCCCTTCTCTTTCAGCACCTCAATCCTTTTCTGCTTCACCTGTGCAGATGCGGAGTATTGATCTCCATGTGCTTGGGTGAGAGTTTCAGGTACTTCACCACATGCTCAGCTGCATCCACTCTGTGATGTGTGTGATTCTGCACCAGCCTTGCCAGCTGCCCAACAGAGAAAGAGATGTCGGGCCTCGTCTGAACCGCTGCATACAAGAGGTTGCCCACCAAGGACTGAAATTGCTGCTGCTCCTTGGCTTCAACCCCTTAATCCTCTGTTATAGTCACAATATGATTGAATGTACCTAAAACAAAAGATAGAGTGCACTGTCAGATTTCTGAATAGCGGCTTCAAACGATGTTAGCGTTCTAGACACAGCTGCAAATGACTTGAATTAAATAGTATTTGGAGCGCCTTGACGCCGTCTACACTAGGCAATTTAGATTGCACAATTTCATTAAGAATGGACGATGCAACGTCGGTTTGAACGAACGGCACTATGGCAGCCACTATAGACTTAGAACACAAATTAGGAAGAGTTACGAGTTGGGAATGACACCCAGCTCCTACAAACCCAAGGAGTCAAGGTACAGTCATGTGGAATAGTGTCACACTCTCCCAACTATGAAGGGTCTCGAAACTACCCTCCATAAAGTGTTAGAATGTTATAGTGCTTACATTTGTGTAGGCTATACTGGGGTAGCTCATAAGGGGTACAACCCAATTAGGGTTAGTACTTGTACCCAACTCTTTGATAGTTCATTCATTCTTGTTCGTTAGTTCTGACATGGTTTCAGAGTAGGTCCTCCGTTAGGACCGAAATTTTTTTTTGGGCCCACCACTGAACTGCCCTGCTAGCGACCCTCGTGCTGCCCTTGCTACTCCGCGCGCCGCCCTCTTGCGGCCTGCACGACGACCCCTAGCCCCGGCCCATCGCCCGTCGCCCCCTAGGCCCAGCTCGTCGCCCGTCGCCCCAAGGACCCAACCCCTAGCCCCAGGCCCCGCGGGCCCGTCGCCCTTAGGCCCTGACCCGTCGCCCCTAGGCCCCAGCCCGTCGCCCCTGGCCCCGACATGTCGCCCCGCGGCCGCCCCTAGGCCCTCGAGCCGCCCCTCCTGCAGCCTGCTGCCTAGCCCTTTTCCCTCTGCTGCCCGCCGGCTCTGCCCCCCTGCGTGCTGCGCCACTATGGATTCTCTTCGCGTTCTAGCGTTCGATCATGAGGGCCTACCGATCCAGTTTGACACGTGGCTCGACGACTTGCAGCTGTACCTACTGAGCTACTCTAGGGACAGTGTTTCGTTGTTTGACCACATGTCTGGCACCGCTCCCGCCCCTCCCGCCACAGCTCACAGTGCGACTCACTAACAGTGGCTTACTCGTGACGCTGCTGCTCGCTTAGCCATTCGCAACCACCTTCCGTTGGCCGAATGCGCTCACTTCGGACAGCACAGGACAGCACAAGCACTGTACGACGCTGTAGTCGCCCGTTACTCCTCGCCTGCCACTACTGCTCTAGGCCGTCTCCTACTGCCCTACCTGTTTCCTGAGCTGTCCGCCTTTGCCACAGTAGAGGACCTTGTTTCCCACCTTCGCACTAGCAACGCTCGCTACCGCGCTGCCCTCCCAGCAGAGTTCATTGCCAAGAACCCGCCCCCGATGTACATCACTCTCTACTTTATAGTCACCCGCCTCCTTGACTCTCTTCGCGCTGTCAGGGACCATTTTCTCACGCTCGACTTCACAGCCCTCACTGTTGACCTACTCGAGCAGCACCTCCTTGCAGCTGAGACTAGTGTAGTCGCTGTAGGTGCTGCTCGTGGCACTCCCCGCACACACCCTTCTTTGAGGGGTGTTCCCCCTCCCCCCTTGCCCCCTCCTACGCCTCTGCTGCTGGTGTTGACGTCCTTGGTGCTGAGGATGTCGGATCTGCTTCCGCTAGTGGGAAGCACCGCTGCAGCAAGGGCAAGGGTGGCAGGGGTGGTGGAGGTGGCAGCGGGGGTGGTGTGGGGGCAGCAGTGGAGGGTGGTGGAGGCAGTGGAGGTGGTGGCAGCGGTGGGAGTGGTGGCGGGAGTGGGGGCTTTGGTGGCGGTGGTGGAGGTAGCGGTGGGAGTGGCGGTAGTGGCAGCGGTGGGAGCGGTGGTGACCCAGGTATAGAGGCTACTGCTCTAGGTGCTAGTGAGTCTTCTCTCCCCGGTACTGCACATCTTAACGCTGGACTCTGATGCCTCACGCTGTTTCTTTCGTGACAGCACCACCCTCACTCCTCTCCCTACACCTGTCCCAGCCAGACTGGCTGACCCCTCTGAGGGCCCGGTCATTGCCCGTTCCTCCACTGTCCTCTCGTGCCCGGCGGTTCCCGTTCGGCTCACTGTCAGGTCTTCACCTCCCCTCGTTCTCCACGAACTTGGTGAGTACCGCTGACCTCCTGGACGCAATGGTAACTACCACCACTCCTGGGGGTCACCGTGTGTCGATCTGCACATGTACACGGACGAGTCGTCACCTGGCCACATTCACTCGTCGGCCAGGGTCGAGTCTGTACACACTGGCTACTGAGCCTCCTCAGGTAGCTGCGTCTGCTCAGGTGTCCGCGTCAGGTCAGGTAGCGCCCCCTTGCTCGTGTCGCCTCCTGTCGCACCAGAATCTTCTGTGGCACCACCGCCTGGGTCACCCCTCCCTGCCACGCCTTCGTGGAATGCACTCCCGTCTCCTTGTCACTGGTCTACCCAGCTCTCTGCCTTCCTTACCACCCTCGCCTGCCCTGCCCTGCCTTCCTTGCGTCGAGGGGTGGCAGCTCGCCGCTCCTCACTCCTCCTCGTTTCCCCCGACAACTTCTCCCTGCAAACTCTCCACATGGACATGTGGGGCCTTGCCCGCGTTAGTGGACAGGGCTGCGAGAGCTACTTTTTGCTGGTTGTTGACGACTACACGCGGTACACCACGGTCTTCTCCTTGCACAGCAAGGGTGAGGTCATTGATGTCTTGATCCCTTGGATCCGCGCAGTCCGTCTCCAGCTCCGCGAGCGGTTCTGCCAGGACCTTCCCGTTCAACTTCTGCACTCAGACAGAAGTGGTGAGTTTTCCTCTAACCTCTTGCGGGACTTTTGTCATGGGGAGGGCATTCTCCAGTCGTTGACGCTTCCGGACTCCCCTTGGGATTGCTGAGCGCCGCATTGGCTTAGTCATGGAGGTCGCTCGTACCTCCATGATCCATGCGGCTGCTCCCCATTTTCTGTGGCCGTTTGCGGTCCGGTACACTGCGCATCAGCTCAACCTCTGGCCCCGTGTCTCCTTGCCAGAGACCTCGCCTACACTGCGTTGGACGGGGAAGGTTGGCGATGCGTCGGTGTTCCGGGTCTGAGGTTCTCGTGCCTTTGTTCGCGATACGTCCGCGGACAAGCTCTCCGCCTGCGCTATTCCCTGTGTCTTCGTTGACTTTTCACCTCTCAGGATGTCACGTTTGACGAGTCGGTTCCATATTATCGTCTCTTCCCCTACCGCTCTGCCCCTCCCCCGCCCCCGCCGCTCTTCCTTGCTCCCGGACCCCCTCCGGTAGAGCCCCTCCCGCCCCAGGGTCCTGCTCCTTCAGGTGTGTCTCAGGTAGACCCTCTCCTTGGTACTGTGCCTGTTGAGGTAGCTGGCGACTTAGGTGCTACTCGAGGTGCTGCGTCTGGGGGTGCTTAGCTTGAGGGCGCTGAGTCTTAGGGTGCTAGGTCTGGGGGTGCTGAGCCTGGGGGTGCGGTGCCTGGGGGTGCTGAGCCTGCGGGTGTGGAGCCTGGGGGTGCTGAGCTTGAGGGTTTTGAGTCTGCGGGTGTTGAGCGTGAGGGTGTTGAGCCTGGGGGTGCTGAGTCAGAGGGTGCGGAGTCTGGGGGTGCTGAGCCTCAGGGTGCTTCTTTGTCTGGAGGTCCTGCTGGTGCTGCCCAGTCCCACTGTCTCTCGTCTCCTTGCTATTGTTGTCACTGACCCTTCTTTTGAGTCCACTGCTGCGTTTGCCCTTGTTGCTGAGCTGCTTGACTTTGCTGCTGCCTGTCCTCTAGACTACGCCACTGCAATTGTTATTGAGTCTGAGTCTGCCAGTCCTCCGTCCTTCGGGGTGAGTGTGCACTTGGCACGGACATAGTCGATGGCATGTGGATTTTAAGGGTGAAGCGGCCGCCGGGGGTCGACTACTTTCAGACCTTCTCTCCCACCCCTGAAGATGACTACTCTTCGGGTGTTGCTGCACGTCGCTACTCAGCGTGACTACGAGTTGCACTCTCTGGACTTCAGTACAGCTTTCTTGCAGGGCAGCCTGCACAATGAGATCTGGCTTCGCCGCCCACCTGGCTTCACAGGGTCGTTTCTTGCCGGTACCCAGTGGAGCCTCCGGCGGCCAGTCTACGGTCTCCGCCAGGCGCCTCGAGAGTGGCACGACACACTGAGGACTACACTTGCGGCTCTGGGGTTTACTCCTTCTACTGCTGACCCGTCGCTGTTTCTACGCACCGACACCTCGCTGCCGCCGTTCTACGTCGTTGTCTACGTCGACGACCTTGTCTTTGCCAAAGCTGACAATGAGGCACTGACCCTTGTTTAATCGGAGCTGCACAAGAGACACACCTGCACTGACCTTGGTGAACTGCGCAGCTATCTTGGCTTGCAGATCACCCACGACAGAGCACGGCGCACCATCACACTAACTCAGTCACACATGGTGCACCAGGTCCTTCAGCGCTTCGGCTTCCAGTTCTCCTCGCCATAGTCCACTCCTCTGTCTACCGGCCACTCGCTCTCAGCTCCACCTTCGGACGAGTCCGTAGAGCCGAGTGCTCTGTACCCAGAGCTTGTGGGTTGTCTCATGTACCTGATGACATGCACTCGACCTGACCTCGCGTACCCTCTCAGCCTCCTGGCTCGCTACGTGGCTCCCGGTAGGCACCGAAAGGTGCACTGGGATGCTGCGAAGAGGGTACTGCGTTACTTGTGCAGTACGTCGGGCATGGGGCTCGTGCTTGGAGGACGGGGTCCAGTTGTCCTCACTGGTCACGCAGACGCTTCTTGGTTTGACGACTCAGCTACGCAGTGGTCGTCAAAGGGTTACACCTTCAGCCTCAGTTCCGGCTTTGTTTCCTAGCGGTCTACCCGCTCGTCTTCGGTTCTCAGCTCCAGTTGTGAGGCTGAGATCTACGCAGGGGCCATGGCTGCACAGGAGCTACGTTGGCTCACCTACCTGCTGACTGACTTGGGAGAGCAGCCTCGTTCGCCTCCAGTTCTGTACGTAGACAACAAGGCCATGATTGCCTTGTATTTGGAGCACAGACTGGAGCAGAGAACGAAGCACATTGGTCTGCGATACTTCCTTGCTCGAGAGTTGCAGCACCGTGGCCAGCTTTGTCTTGCGTACGTGGCCACTAGGGCCAACACTGCTGATATATTCACCAAGGCACTTCCGCTTGGTGATCATCAGCGCTTCTCTTCTCTGTTAGGCCTTGTGCCCACCTTGCCTCACTTGCTCACTGCATGACCTTTCTTGTACTGTGATCTATATATATACCTGCATGCTTACCTTGCTAAGGTATGATCACTGCATTATTTGTCCTCTTTTATATAATTCTGCATGTGAACTGGCCTTGTGGCCCTTTGCTTGTGCCCGGACTGGGTGGTGACTTTGTGATCCACCCTGAGCTTGCTTTGCTTTTCTTGACTAGTCTTGTGACCACTTGTTCTCCCCCACTTTGCCTATGGGGGTGTGTCAGAATGTTATAGTGCTTACACTTGTGTAGGCTATAGTGGGGTAGCTCTGTTAGAAAAGTATGAGCCATAGCTAGGGTGTGAGAGCTAGGCAAGTGTCGAGAGAGTTGAGAAAGCAAGGAAGGAGTGTTTTACTAAGAAAGCAAGGTACAAGATATAGGAGCAAGAGATGGCAAAGGGTGCACCACCTACAGGGACTAAAACAGTAACTACACTACAGCTATAACTATATGCAGTTATACAGAAATATATATATATATATATTCGGACACACCCCCTAACTGCATGCAAGAATAGCCATGTGCAGAACACCCCCTGAAGGGGTACACCCTGCGCAGCGGAAGAAGGAGAGGGAAAATGAGGAGGAGGCGGCTGATGCTGCAGCTGGACTCACAGCACCCCCTCAACCTCCCCCCGCACAGTAGCAGCAGCAGCAGTGAGGAGAGAGAGGAGGAGGCGTGGCGGGAGTTGCTGTAGTTGAGTCACCTGCCTTCCCCCCCCCTTGTTTCCCCCCCCTCAACTGTTGCACGCGCAGCAGGGAGAGGGAGGAGGCTGGCGCTGTAGGTGTAGCCTCCCCTTAACACCTTCCGCCCCCACACCCCTCCCCTCCCCCCCAACTGCTGCACACGCAGCAGGAAGAGGGAGGAGAAGGGAGGGGGGCAGGGTGGGGAGGTGGCAGTGCATGGGGCCGCAGATGCGCGTGCAGAGGGCAGCAGGGCGCACGGGGCGCACAGGGCAGCAAGGCAGAAGGGCGCGCGGGGTGCGCAGTACAACAGGGTGCGCGTGGCGCGCTGTGCTGCAGGCCGCGCGGGGTGCACAGGGCAGCAGGGCAGCAGGGTGTGCGGGGCGCACAGGGCCGCAGGGCAGCGCGGGACGCGCAGGACAGCAGGGCGCGCGTGGCGCGCAGGGCTGCAGGGCGCGCGGGCGGCGCACAGGGCAGCAGGGACAGCAGGGCGTGCGGGCACACAGGGCAGCAGGGCAGCAGGGCGCGCGGGGCGCACAGGGGCTGCACAGGGCAGCAGGGCAGCACGCGGGGCGCACAGGGCTGCAGGGCGCGCGCGGCGCGCACAGGGCTGCAGGGCGTGCGGGGCGCGCAGGACAGCAGGGCGCGCGTGGCGCGCAGGGCTGCAGGGCACGCAAGGCGCGCAGGGCAGCAGGACAGCAGGGCGCGCGGAGCGCACATGGCTGCAGGGCTCACGGGGCGCACAGCAGCAGGGCAGCAGGGCACGCGGGGCGCACAGGGCTGCAGGGCAGCAGGGCGCGCGGGGCGCACAGGGCTGCCGGGCGTGCGGGGCGCGCAGGACAGCAGGGCGCGCGTGGCGCGCAGGGCTGCAGGGCACGCAGGGCGCGCAGGGCAGTAGGACAGCAGGGCGCGCGGAGCGCACATGGCTGCAGGGCTCACGAAGCGCACAGGGCAGCAGGGCAGCAGGGCACGCGGGGCGCACAGGGCTGCAGGACAGCAGGGCGCGCGGGGCGCACAGGGCTGCAGGACAGCAGGGCGCGCGGGGCGCACAGGGCTGCAGGGCGCGCGGGGCGCGCAGGACAGCAAGGCGGCGCGTGGCGCGCAGGGCTGCAGGGCGCGCAGGGCGCGCAGGGCAGCAGGACAGAAGGGCGCGCGGGGCGCGCAGGGCTGCAAGGCGCATGGGGCGCACAGGGCAGCAGGGCAGCAGGGCACGCGGGGCACACAGGGCTGCAGGGCAGCAGGGCGCGCGAGGCACACAAGGCTGCAGGGCTTGCGGGGCGCGCAGGACAGCAGGGCGCGTGTGCCGCACAGGGCAGCAGGGCAGCAGGGCGCGCGGCTGCAGGGCAGCAGGGCACGCGGGGCGCACAGGGCTGCAGGGCAGCAGGTCGCGCGGGGCGCACAAGGCAGCAGGGCAGCAGGGCGCGCGGGGCGCACAGGGCTGCAGGACAGCAGGGCGCGCGGGGCGCACAGGGTTGCAGGGCGCGCGGGGCGCGCAGGACAGCAGGGCGCGCGTGGCGTGCAGGGCTGCAAGGCGCGCAGGGCGCGCAGGGCAGCAGGACAGAAGGGCGCGCGGGGCGCGCGCACGGCTGCAGGGCGCAAGGGGCGCACAGGGCAGCAGGGCAGCAGGGCACGCGGGGCACACAGGGCTGCAGGGCAGCAGGGCGCGCGGGGCGCACAGGGCTGCAGGGCACGCGGGGCGTGCAGGACAGCAGGGCATGCGTGGCGCGCAGGGTTGCAGGGCGCGTAGGGCAGCAGGACAGCAGGGCGCGCGGGGCGCGCATGCAGGGCGCACGGGGCGCACAGGGCAGCAGGGCGCACGGGGCGCACAGGGCTGCAGATCCCCTCCCCCCACTGCTGCACCCGCAGCAGAGGGATGGAGGAGAAGGGGGGAGGGGGGGGGCTGATGCTGCAGATCCCCTCCCCGCCACCCCCTTAACCTCCAAGCTCCCCCCCCTCCCAACACAAGGTGCGGCAGGGAGAGAGAGAGGAGGAGGTGGTGGGTGGCTGGCGTTGCAGAAACCCCTCCTGCCACCCACTAGGTCAGCCACCCCCCGGAACCGCACCCCTCTTGCCACCCCCTCACCCTCCATGATCCGCGCCCCCAACTCCCTTCCCACCCCCCCCCCCCCTCCTTTTCTGCTGCACGTGCAGTAGGGAGAGGGAGAACGAAGTTGGGGGGGGAGGGTCCTCGGGCGACGAGGCAAGGGGCCGACGAGGCCGGCGGGGCGACAGGTCCTCGGGCGACGTGGCCGCGGGAGACAGAGCCGCAGGCCACGGCGCCTTGGGCGACGAGGGCGGGGCCTAGGGGCAACGGTGCCGACAGGCCTAGGGGCGGCAGGTGCGACGGGGCCGACGGGCATAGGAGCGTTGCGCGACGGGCGACGAGCCGGAACCGGGGCCTAGGGGCGTCGGGCGCGAGCGACGGGGCCGAGGGGCCTTGGTCGACGGGGGGGGCCGCGAGGCGTAGGGCCGTGCCTAGGGGAGCGACAGGAGACGGGGCCGACGGGACCTAGGGGCGTTGCGCGACGGGCAAAGGGCCGGAACCGGGGCCTAGGGACGTCGGGCGCGAGGGACGGGCGACGGGGCCGAGCCTAGGGGAGCGACGGGCGCGAGCGACGGGCCAGGGGACCGGAGCCTAAGGGCGACGGGCCTAAGGGCTACGCACGACGGGCTACGGGCCGGGACCGAGGCCTAGGGGCGACGGGGCCGGGGGGCGACAGGCCTAGGGGCGACTTGGCCGGGGCCTAGGGGCAACGGGCACGAGCGACGGGCCTGGGCCTAATGTCGATAGAAGGGCTACACGAGGGTGGCGCGTAGGGCAGCAGGTGGTGGGCCCAAAGAGGTTAGGTCCTCGGGTTAGAACCAGCTCTTAATATCATGTTAGAAAAGTATGAGCCATAGCTAGGGTGTGAGAGCTAGGCAAGTTTCGAGAGAGTTGAGAAAGCAAGGAAGGAGTGTTTCACTAAGAAAGCAAGGTACAAGATATAGGAGCAAGAGATAACAAAGGGTGCACCACCTACAGGGACTAAAACAGTAACTACACTAAAGCTATAACTATATGCAGTTATACAAAAAATCTATAATATATTATGACAAGCTCATAAGGGGTACAACCCAGTAAGGGTTAGTACTTGTACCCAACTCTTTGATAGTTCATTCATTCTTGTTCGTTAGTTCGGACTCAAGGGCCTACACCAAGAGAAATGTTACACTACACATTGTAATGTAACTATTCTCACTATCTTGAAGTATACCCTTTTGGAGATCTTCAAAATCACTTGAATCTTGAAACCATGGCTCTGGTTCTTCAAGTTAAATTCTTCCTTGAGTTCTTGGAAGTCTGCTGCGCACACCTGCGATACGCCGAACGTTCCACACACGACAAAATAGAAAACCGCGCACGACACGCAAACGACGACGTGACACGCGACTAGCGATAACTCGCTATTGCTTCGGCACACACATTCAAAACCATGCCTCATCATTCACACACTATTGTAAGCATGAAATATATATTATCTCATGCCCTCATACCATTCCATGCACACACGCATGCACGCACGCTGACAACAAGCCGAATGCAAACCATAGGGTTGCACCAACAAACTCCCCCTCGGATTGTTGGCCTTAGGATCTTGCTCTCTCAGTTCAGAGCCATCCCAGCCCAGCTTACAACACTTCCAATGCTGCTGCTCCACCAGCCTCTTGGTCATCATGTCAGCTGGCTGCCTCGTCGTCTTCACGTAGTTCAACTCAACTTCACCCATGGCCACCATGCTCCTCGTCCAATGCCATTTCACCCTCATGTGCTTCGTGAGGCCATGCAACACATGGCTCTTAGCAAGAGCAATGGCACCCTGGCTGTCACAGAAGACTGGGGTAGGTCCTTGCTGCTCCTCCCCCAATTCAGCCAATGAACGCAGCTGCCATACAATCTCCCGTACGGCACGGAAGAGTGCCATGTACTCGGACACCACTGAGCTCAATGCTTGATCCACCTGCTTCTTGCTCTCCCAAGCAGTTGGGCCTCCACCAACACAGCAAATGAAGCCTCCCACACTTGTCATGTCCTCCTGTTCTGATGCATAAGAGGCATCGGAGAAGGCTGTGAGGAACAAACGCCCGGGTTCAACACCATCCGCGCCCTTTTGGCGCCTTTGTGCCGCTGCCGAGTATTGCAGCCCAACCGTCGCTGTTTGGCCAAGATACTTGGCCACCCTGATTCCAAATGCTACCTGCTTATCATTAGGGCATTGAACAACCCTAGCTAGCTGCCCGGTAGCAAAGGCGACGTCCGGTCTGGTGTTTACCGCCGCGTACATGAGGCTGCCCACCAACGAGTGAAAACGGCGCCTCTCCTACTTGATGCGGCATGTAAACATGTTTAGTACTTGAATTGCATGGATATGAATGCAGAATGTAATAAAATCCTTCTCATATGTTGGCAGGCAATTGAGACCGACACACAGACTCTTATCAACACCTGGTATACTGTAATCTCCCTGATATAAGACCCCTCACTGTCAAGCGATTACGCGAATGATAACTAGATGAAATTCTCGCACAAAATGACCCGTGTTCTGGTTTTTCCCGCTCGTGCCAGAATAAATTGACAAATCCTGGCGCACCAAGTTCTGACACACTTTCCGGAACTTGGGCAATTTATGTATGAGTAGCTGCGCTGAAAACTAGTTGTACACGCTCAAAGAATATTTCAGCGCTCGTTCTGAACATTGTTTGTACCTAATTCTTTCGCACAACCGGGGCAAAAGATATAAACCTTTTTTGGATAGGAAGCGATCCTGAGAGCATCAACCCTAAACACCTTGCGACAAGGCGTTTAGGGTATTTTTCTAAGAAAAAGCATGCCACTTGGGAGGGGTATATTTTTCTCCCGCCTGTACGATTACACATGATTACAGATTATTAAAAAAAACAAAATGTCGCCTTTCTAGGAAATTTTGATCACTTTGCGATCTTAAAAATAATTATAAGACGGCTCCAAAATTATTATGTCCGTGGTAATAAAACAAACCCAGGCCTTCAAAGTCTGGATCATTTCAGGCAAAAGTTTCATTCAGTTACAATTCGCGTGGTCATTCGCCTGTGTCGAATTACCAAATACGTGAACATGCTACCAAACGCGTATAAACACATTGTAATAGTTACCGTACGCGTTATAGAGCCACTTTTTTGTTACCATTGGCATAATTTCCCCGCGCGTTACTGTTACATTGGTGTTCGCTGTAAGGAATTTTCCTTGTTCCTTACCTTACATTGTTCCTTGTTTCATACAACCCCGACATTTCGGACTTCTCACGTTCGGCCTACATTTCCGATGCCGAGGCTGTCACGTGTCGCCTTCGGCTATATTGTCGCCAAACCTGCACCCAAGCCCACGTTTTTGTTCCTTACCGAGGTTGATTGCTATGCGTACAACCCCGACAGTCGTGGCGAGGCACCCGCAGGACCTCCAGAAGAAGCACTACCCCGAGGCTCAGCACCCTCAGACTCCGCACCCTTAGACTCAGCACCCCCAGGCTCCGCGCCCTCAAGCTCAGCACCCCCAGGCTCCGCACCCCAAGATTCAGCACCCCCAGGCTCCGCACCCGCAGACTCAGCACCCCCAGGTTCCGCACGCGCAGGCTCAGCATCCCCAGACGCAGCACCCCCAGACGCAGCACCTCATTGCAGATCGAATGGCCCAATCTGCAGGATAAGCGTCGCAAGCGAATCAGTAGCCAGCCAGAACAGAACAGGCCAGACTACCAGGAGTGCTGCGAAAAGGTCAAACAGATGATCCACTTTGCTGTCGTGGAGCGGAGGATCCCCCACGATCCGGCGAGGGGTGCATTCGTCTTTCCGAACAAGTTCCTCATCGACGATGGCGACCTTGGAGATGTCGTCCTTGCCCACCGAGCGCTTTCAAGGCCCGCCAGTACGTAGGCTATTTGACCTGGTGCTAAGACTGATTGTAGCTAGAATTCTGAATAATGGTTGTTGTAAACCGCAATAATAAATGCAATTTTAAAATCCTCAATATCCAAAATAAACAAAAACAGAATTTAGTTTTGAATAATTTGGTCACGAATTTGCAACAAAACGGATTGCGCCCAAATGTCGTCCGGAAAACCACGCGTGCCAAATTGGAACTTGAACTGGGCCAAACGTTGTCGCATGATGTGTCTCGGAGCTCCTATCAAATCACTCCAACCGTCGGTCCAAATTGAATCCGGATTTTTTTATACGAAGGCAATCGAAATCAAAACTCGTCCAAACTTTGCAAAGGGTTTTTGTGATGAAGTTTAGAAACTACATTAAGTCTACACTACAGGCATTAAATATAATGCCTGTACTTATATTCCGACATGAAGGTGCTAGGATAAATTCTTCCTTGAGTTCTTGGAAGTCTGCTGCGCACATTTGCGACACGCCGAACGTTCCACACACGACAAAATAGAAAACCGCACATGACACGCAAACGACGACTTGACACTCGACTAGCGATAGCTCTCTACAGACTCGACACAAACATTCAAAATCATGCCTCATCATTCACACACTATCGTAAGCATGAAATATATATTATCTCATGCCCTCATACCATTCCATGAACACACGCATGCACGCAGACGGACAACAAGCCGAATGCAAACTGTAGGGTTGCACCAACATAACCCAGATGTTACGCGAATGTTCTGAGGGTCACGAAGCGTCCCGAACAGAACCTTCACGAACTCTGTAGAAAGCAATTCGGTAGCGACCGAAAGGCTTGAGTTCGGTACACGTAACCTGGTTCGGTACTATAACTATAAAAATATATATGAATGCACCTAACGTAGGAAATCAAGCATATCCATGCATAAGAAAAAAAAACCCAAGCTAGATATAGCATCATAAACATGTATAAGCCGTCATCCTCTCACACGTCCCCCCTCAAAGCTGGGTGGCGTGAAAAACACCCTGCTTCACAAAAATAATGAACGAGAATGGATGAACTAGCAAAGAGTTGGGTACAAGTACTAACCCTGATTGGGTTGTACCACTTATGGGCTACCCCACTACAGGCTACACAATGTAAGCTATATATAAGTTGGACACACCCCCATAGGCAAAGTGGGGGAGAACAAGTGGTCACAAGACCAGTCAAGAAAAGCAAAGCAAGCTCAGGGTGGATCACAAAGTCACCACACAGTCCGAGCACAAGCAAAGGGCCACAAGGCCAGTTCACATGCAGAGTTATATAAAAGAGAACAAACAATACAGTGATCATACCCTTGCAAGTGCAAGCATGCAGGTATATATATATGTCACAGTACAAGCAAAGTCACGCAATAAGCAAGTGAGGCAAAGTAGGCACAAGGCCTAAAACAGTAGAGAAGCCCTGATGATCACCAAGCGGAAGTGCCTTGGTGAATATATCAGCAATGTTGGCCCTAGTGGCCAAGTACGAAGCTGGCCACGCTGCTGCAACTCTCGAGCAAGGAAGTATCGCAGAGCGATGTTCTTCGTT